TGAGTTGCATCCAAAGAACACCATACCTACTGTGAAACATGGGGGTGGAAACATCATGCTTTGGGGCTGTTTTTCTGCAAAGGGACCAGGACTACTGATCCGTGTAAAGGAAAGAATGAATGGGGACATGTATCGTGAGATTTTGAGTGACAACCTCCTTCCATCAGCAAGGGCATTGAGGATGAAACGTGGCTGGGTCTTTCAGCATGACAATGATCCCAAACAAACCGCCCGGGCAACGAAGGAGTGGCTTCGTAAGAAGCATTTCAAGGTCCTGGAGTGGCCTAGCCAGTCTCCAGATCTCAACCCCATAGAAAATCTTTGGAGGGAGTTGAAAGTCCGTGTTGCCCAGCGACAGCCCCAAAACATCACTGCTCTAGAGGAGATCTGCATGGAGGAATGGGCCAAAATACCAGCAACAGTGTGTGAAAACCTTGTGAAGACTTACAGAAAACGTTCGACCTCTGTCATTGCCAACAAAGGGTATATAACAAAGTGTTGAGATGAACTTTTGTTATTGACCAAATACTTATTTTCCACCATAATTTGCAAATAAATTCTTTAAAAATCAGACAATGTAATTTTCTGGATTTTTGTTTTCTCATTTTGTCTCTCATAGTTGATGTATAGGCTACCTAGGATGAAAATTACAGCCCTCTCTCATCTTTTTAAGTGGGAGAACTTGCACAATTGGTGGCTGACTAAATACTTTTTTGCCCCACTGTATATACACAGCAAGATGACTTTGGTGACTCTATATCTCTTTCTTTAGCTGCACTACCAGCCTAGAGTGTATCTTAATCAAATAGCTTGACATCTACTGGATGTATCGGCGCAACATTTTTACGGACATCCACGGATCCCAGAAAATATAAACAAATGACGTTGGTGTTCCTATTATTTCACCCACCCAAATCAGCAGACTTTACAGGTGTTTATACTTAGTCACCAAACGTTCTATTTTTGCCATCGCCATAATTACTGCGGCCAGTTGAGGTCACCTACCTCTTGTATTTGTATCGTTAAGCAACTGTGTTAATGGATGATAGCGTCTGGTGACCGTTGTGCCATAACGCACATTTTCATCAGAAGGAACAAGGGCTATCAAGCAGCTCACAGGGGTTATTGCCAATATGGTGGCCGCAACACCCAATCACTGTTAAATTAAATCCAAGGATTCCAGATGCTGACGATCAGCAATGGGTTAGTGAGGTCAAATTAAGATCCATACGCTGACCTTTTCCATGGCTGGCTCCTTTCAGAGTGCCTATTGTGTGGGCTATCAATGGGGACAAATGAGCCCTAATGGTCAGGTCATGGCAGAGAGCCATCACTTACACCAAAGTCCAGTGCTCACCAGGCCCAGGCAAGGTTATACTATTGAAGAGTATTCTCAATAAAAACACTATCATCTTCACTGTTGCAGTGGATGAACATCTCCTTTCACACTATCACGCCACACATCATGATCCCATCTTCCGCTTCTTTTTCTTGCCAAAAATCAATGAATCCTGGAAAATGTATTGTCTGTGTGGCCAATGCCTGATACATTCCTCTGTGCCAATGAGGTCTATTGTTATCCAAAAACCAAGCATCAACCTGAAGCTCTGAAAAATGAAGCCAATGTTGAAATGCATGAGACTTGAATCAACTCTGATGTCTAGCAAGGAGTAACTCCACTGGTTGCAAAAACTGTATAGAAGTCTATAAGAAAATCACCCCACTTCTCACCTGATTTGTTAACTTTGTAAACATTTTTGCTGAAACGTTTATAGTTTCAATTGCTAGATAAAGGTTATTTTCAATACAACATGATGTTTATTTTGGTAATTATTGTGCCATTTAGAGTAGAATAGACAAAAAAGAAGCAAAAACGTTGGGGCCGGGCTACTTTATGATTTAATGGATACCACCTCAGCATTGTTTGGTTTGGGGGGCCTTACTGTCTTTAACTATTCACTGTGTTTCAATTCATGAAAGTTTATTGTAACGTTTGAGTGGCCTAAAAAGTCTTGTTCAGGGTTTGGTTTTACTTGGCTCCACCCTCTTGAGTAACAAAAACCGATAACTAAAACAACAGACCTGACGATGAAAACAGTCTACCACAGACCAATGGGTGTCGTTTTAAGTAGTCTAGCTGCACTTAGTAGGCTTGTTTGAGACGAGCTGCGGCTGGCCTCGAAAGTAGACGAGAATAGCCGATCGCAGCCGGAGGAGGTCTCAAAAAGCTCGCCTGAAGTCGGACAGCTCTGAGTCGGCTTCTTCTTCTTCTTCTTCTTCTTCTTCTTCTTCTTCTTCTTCTTCTGCTGCTTCTTCTTCTTCTTCTTCTGCTTCTTCTTCTTCTGCTGCTTCTTCTGCTGCTGCTTCTGCTCGTCTGTCAGGGAT